ACAGATAGCCCATTGTGTAGCTTTGTGCTTAACTTAAAAAACAAACAAACAATAGCAAAATAAAGGACTTCATAAGTAATTGGGAATGAACTACAGTTTTCAGCTGGTAGTTTTTTGTTTTTTTTTGTACCCAATGTAGTAAAACTATACATTTTCATACAACGACTCTAAATCATTTTAATAATTGTGGAATACCTGTATTAGAGTTTTGTGTGAATATTTGTGTATTGAAGTTTGCTGTTTTTCGGCTATACCGATTTTGTTGCACGCGCGCTATCCTTACCGATTTCCAAAGTAAGGTCTGGGCAAATATTCATAGATATCGTTCATACGGTCTTGTCTGGTTGATTTTTCCATCCTGTCCAACTTTTCCAGTCTTGTCATTTGATCAGCCATATACTCGGAATCTTCTGTTACACCTAGAAGAAGATCCACCAGATCACTCGGTGAAAATCAGATATATGGGGGAGAATGGTGATTTTAAGTATGGAACGGTTCACAGGAAGAAAAGGCCCGATTTCTATAAACAGACGCCCTAGTTAATCACCTCCGTATAAAAATACTGTAAAAATGTTTTTCATTTTCAACGAAACTTTTTGTAATTGTAGTTAAGACTTCGATATTTAAATACACCCAGAGTCCATGTATTTTTTGTATTTTTTTTTATAACTACTTGAAATTCAAATCACAAAAGTCACTTCCTGCAGAACAAAGGATAAATTGTCTCAGATAGTAGGAGTCCTGTCGAGAAAAATCATGAAAATAAACTAAAAAACGTTAAAACTTTAAGCAAGGCACCTGTTCAGGTGATTCAAAATCTTCATAATTATATAAATACAATGAAGTGTCCATTATGTCAAAAGGAGAATAAAATATATTAGAGCCTTGATTTACAAACCATATATACGTTTGTGATTATTCTTTTAATTATATGTCTACTCACTATACGCATGATTTATGTCTTTCACTCTGCCTTCTTTAAATTAAAACGTATAACACGTATCGCTAAACATTACTGATATTGCTATAATAATTACTAAAATATAATTAAAAAGTTAAGTTTGCTCGTTTACTTTTTTGAAAAGAGTCCTGAGCTCCGTTCTTTGCTTTCTTGTAGTACGAATACACACATACCACGCTGTAAATCTGCAAATCATAAAAGTGAACGTTAAAGGTTGTTCTATTGTGTTTTCAAGGTAAACCATGCGACAAAGAGAACAGTAAAAAAAAAAGTAAACACTGGCACTTACTGCTACGTATACGGGTACTGTAGTAATATAATATTGTTGAGTAACAAAGGAATATGTAACACTAATATTGGAGTCATACTGGTACATCACAAGTGAATGGGTAACACTATAGTGGGGTCATACTGGTACATCACAAGTGAATAGGTAACACTATAGTGGGATCATACTGGTACATAAGAAATGAATGAGTAACAATATAGTGGGATCATACTGGTACATAAGAAATGAATGAGTAACAATATAGTGGGATCATACTGGTACATCACAATTGAATGAGTAACAATATAGTGGGATTATACTGTTACATAAGAAATGAATGAGTAACAATATAGTGGGATCATACTGGTACATAAGAAATGAATGAGTAACAATATAGGGGGCTCATACTAGAACATAAGAAATGAATGAGTAACAATATAGTGGGATCATACTGGTACATAATAAATGAATGAGTAACAATATAGTGGGATCATACTGGTACATAAGAAATGAATGAGTAACAATATAGTGGGCTCATACTAGAACATAAGAAATGAATGAGTAACAATATAGTGGGATCATACTGGTACATAAGAAATGAATGAGTAACATTATAGTGGGATCATACTGGTACATAAGAAATGAATGAGTAACAATATAGTGGGCTCATACTAGAACATAAGAAATGAGTGAGTAACAATATAGTGGGCTCATACTGGTACATAATAAATGAATGAGTAACAATATAGTGGGATCATACTGGTACATAAGAAATGAATGAGTAACAATATAGTGGGCTCATACTAGAACATAAGAAATGAATGAGTAACAATATAGTGGGATCATACTGGTACATAAGAAATGAATGAGTAACAATATAGTGGGATCATATGGTACACAAGAAGGTTATTACCCTGAACAAACAAATCTGTTAAACATAAAAATGGGTATCGCGACAACAAATATAGACACCTAAACCATTATACAGGAAATGAACGAATCTAGTTTGAACAAACAATGCAAATAAAAACTTCTGACGAACACGTGTATCACAAGGATAATTTTAGACCACTTTCTATAATGAATCAAAACAAATTTATAATATATGAAATAATGGTTTCTTTTAGTCTTAATATTCTTATAGTTACAATCGTTGTTTGATAGCTAACGTTCAACAACTTCTTGTGAAAAAACTCAACACAGACTGGTTGGTGAACATACAATTACACTAACACAAGTTCTATTTCATATACATATACGCTAACATTCTTTATTTTATTCTTTTACAAAAAACAAACTTACTCTCAATCCAGTGAGGAAACCCACAATGATCGCCACCATGATGTCATTGGCACCGCAGCTAGTCTGTATATTACAAAATATATATATATATTTTGGAATAGAAAAATGTTGATTTCAAACAACGAATTTTTTATTTTACAATCCAAAGTTGTTTTACATTTACCTATTCTCTTAAGTTGGTTTTGGAATATCATTTATCGAAAATTTGCTGCATCGATAAAAATTGAAGTAAGTCGGCCTATGAAGATCTACTTGTGTCGATATAATTTATATTTTAGACTTTTAATTTATCAAGTCAAACTTCCCTCCTGAGAGATGTTCCGCAATAGAGAACAGGTTGTCATTCATAACATTTGCATTTGTTTGTTTGTAGTTAAGCACAAAGCTACACAAAGGGCTATCTGTGCTCTGCCCACAACGGGTATCGAAACCCGGTTTCTAGCGTTGTAAGTCCGCAGACATACCGGTGTGCCACTGGGGGGCGCATTTATGGTAAATCTACTAAGGCTGTCTGCAGCCGTCCCTAATTTTGAACTACTGATCAAAGGGAAGACAGCCAGTCAGTATCACCTACCATCTGCGCTAAGAAATTGACTGTCACTCTTGTAACACACATATAGCTTAAACTGCGTGGAAAATTTTGTGGTTACGCACAGATTCTAACCTGGCTCTCGATCCCCGAAATCCAGAGTTCTACCACAGGGTCAACCCGCAAACATTCAAAAGATAGCTCTTAGGTTCAATATCCTATATGATCATATAAAATTTTGCCAAGTTTTTTTCTTTTAAAAGAGCCTTAACAACTTTATTTTTCTTTCACATTTCATAACTTATGTTGAAATAGAACATCTAAAATCTAATATACAAATTAATTAAATGCTCCCTCCAGAAGAAAGTGGAGGGAAAAAACCTATACGGAGTTTATGAGCATTCTTCGTTCGTAATGTCTGTAATGTTAAAGCTTACACCACTCAGAAGTAGGACACCATGTGGCAACGTAAAGAAAAATCGCCTTTAAAATTGTTGAAATAATCTAATAAAAAAATGTTTTCAACAAAAAATATACACAATTTAAGCACATGAAAAAATAACCTGTTTAACTTCTTTTTTTATTTATTTATTATGTTAGTGAACTAAATAGACTAGTGGATCAACTAACACCCAAGAGTAAAATACTGATCCATGTTGTTATCATGTCATAATTGTTCGGTTAAATATAAGTAAAAGATCAGAAGATAACTTAGTATATGTGTACAATGAAGAGGGTGGAAACTTATCTCAATTGATAAAACGATAAAGCTAAATTATTAGAAACATTACTACTACTCTCAGAAAATGACAGTAACTTTTACATTGGAAAGACAGAAGCAAAAACCCAAGCAGCGATATCGGCAGGGGCGTCGAGAGGCAGCCCAGGCCCCGTGGTCAGTAATATCATTGGACACCCCCCCCCCCTTTCATTTTTCATAAAAGAAATTTAGGTGACAAATATCTTCACAAATCCATGAAAAAGCAGTAGCCATTTTAGCTCATTAAGTAGTATGCATTTCTAGTGAGCTTTAGAATATCTCGCTGCCGGGCCCCGGGGCAGCTTCCCCCTTGCTCCCCCTCACCTTAGCCCTGAATATTAGTACATAAAAAAATCAAAAACATACAGTAAGTGACTATGGTGACATTCTTGTCGTTGAGATAGTGAATTAAAAAAATATTCTCTTTAACCGCTAATACTTAAGACTGAACAGATTCTATTCGATTTGGTTGAGTGTTGAGCGCACGAAGAATTTTAAATTCATGGTATTTTCTTAAGTGTTCATGTGAACAGGAAATTACCTCTCTGTCTGTGAAAGTTATTCCGGGATGTAGAATCACAAGTGTTGGTTATCACGCATAACGTAACTGCCAGTGCTTTGTACTAAGTACAACTGGTGGTAAAATGCTAAAATGTTTGTAAAAACGGTAGCTTAATGAGACGAGGCTCGGCATGGCCAAGTGGTTAGGGCGCTCGACTCGCAAGCTGAGGGTCGCGG